TCTCAAAAACTGAAACAAAAACTAGTTTACGTATGTACAACCAGACGGGAATAGTTAAATCAACTCAGCTCGTCAATCTGACCCGATCGGTATACATTTTGATGAGTACTCCTTCTGGTCCTTAGAAAATTTGTTTAAAAACAAATGGAGTTCGTGCATTGAAAAATAATAGTGCGATTTCCAGCAAAAATTGTGACCTTCTTGCTAACGTATAAATTATATTTGCATAATAATTTAAAATACATATATATATATATATATATCTACTTATCATTAAAAGATATTTTTGATTTAAAATGAAAACTAAATTAAGATGAAACCCTTAGCAAAACTTAACATAATTGCCCCACGATCTTAAACATTATTTATTCTTCTTCTTTACTGGCGTAGACATCGCCAGGTCTTTCCAATGTAGAGGAGGCCTTGCTCTTTCTTTGCTTCCACCGGCGAGTACTGCACCGAAAATTTTCAAGTCTGTAGTATTCTTGTCCATCCGGACCACATGACCTAGCCAGCGTAGCCGCTGTTCCTTGATTCGCTGAACTACGTCAATGTCACCGCATATCTCGTACAGCTCATCGTTCAATCGGCTTCGGCCTACGCCATTCCCAAATCGTAGATGACTCACTCGAAAACGCCTACCGCCGACTCATCAGATGTTGTCATCGTCCACGCGTCTGCGCCATATAGTAGGACGCGAATGATTAGCGACCTGTAGTCTGAATTTTGTTCGAGAAATGACTACTATTCAATTGCCTACTCAGTCCAAAGTAGCACCTATTGGCAAAAGTGATTCTGCGCTGGACTTCAAGGCTGACGTTATTATTGGTGTTAATGTTGGTCTCAAGATAGACGAAGTTATCTACGACTTCAAAGTTTTGACTGTCAGCAGTGACATGGCAGCCAACTCGTGAATGAGATGACTGTTTGTGTGATGACAGGATCGTATCGTATTTCCCTCGTTCACTACTAGACCCATACGCTTCGCTTCCTTATCCAGTCTAGAGAAAGCAGAACTCACGACGCGGTTGTTGAGGCCAATAATGTCAATATATCGGCCTACAACAGCAGCTGTACACTCTTATAGAAGATTGTACCTTCTCTATTCAGTTCTTTAGCTCTTATTATTTTCTCCAGCAGTAAATTAAAGAAGTCACGATAAGGAATCACCATGACTGAAACTTCATTTGGTATCGAACGACTCGGGGAGGTCCTTTCCGAGTTTTTAGTGTTGCCTAATGTCAATTTACATAGCCGTATAAGTTTTGCGAGGATACCAAATTCAGACATAGCGACGTAGATGCAGCTCCTATTCGTACACTCGAAGGCTGCTTTAAAATCGATTCTCTTTTCACGAGTCTTTTCATAAATGGAGAATATTTGGTCAATGGTTGACTTACCAAGTCTGAAGCCACACTGATAAGGTCCAATCAGTTTGTTGACGATGGGCTTTAGTCTTTCATATAATACGCGGTAATTGGCGCAGACTGTCCAAACTAATGATATTTTCATCGTGTAGTCATCGTGTAGTCAACAAACTTCCGATTCAAGGTCATATTATGTACATGCACGTATAAGCTTACAAAAGTGTTTCTCTAAAAAACTCATTAAGGGTATCGTCGATGTGTTTAACTCTAACAAGAGCTCATTTATAAAGACCAGCTCAAGTCTTTGTTATTCTCTATTTGGCCATTACAGAATCAGAAGAGTTTTGATTCTAAAATGTGTTAGAATGTGACCTCCTTTTCAGTGGCAAACTTTACAGATTTATACTCATAAGCTAACTACTTCAGGCAGTGTCATCAAAGCTGGATGTTTTCTTGCGATACTGTTGTTGTTTTTCCTTTGGCCAAACCTTTAAGGAGGTGGGATTCCTTTCCCTTTCTTACCTAATTTTTCTAAAAAAAAAATGTTTATTGAATTAAAAGAGGGAATTAACAAACAGACACTAGAAAAAGTTCAGACCAATTTTTACCTTTAATTAAAAAAAAATATCTTATTCAAATAGGAGTACATTATCTTGGCAGCATTCATTGCATAAGCATGATTTGTTTTTTCTATTTAAGCATTTTCCATTAAACTGAATCTCCAGTATTGCATAAATCTGGAAGTGTTCATAAACACTAATAAACATATGTATACATAACAACCCTCTAATACATATTTAGATTTAATGAGCTTGATATTTTTGAATTGTAGTGAAAAAGGAATAAATTCTTTCTTGTTCAGGATTAAAAAATTTACCAGCAACATAATTTAACTGTTGTAAGAGTCAACTAGAGTAGGTTTTCATGACCGTTATTTATATATAAGTATGTATGTAATAATCATTTGTTGAGTAATATAATTTGTATATAAATATGTATATACATATCGAAAATCTTTGTCTAATTCGAGGTTTGGATTATCAAAAGAGGTAATGGCTTATTGAAAAATTTAAGGACTACCATTCTGTACATCGAACTAAATATAAGCATACACATATATACATGTACATATGTATGCAAGTTGAATATGTATAAATGGCCATCAGAGATAAAAGTATATTCGGTAGTAACAATGGTTATATATATTTATATTTTTAAATGTATATATTTGTCCATGCGTATGAATAATTTTGCCGCAGTACCTGCGCCGCTGTCACCAGCCCATACCCTGCTCAAGAAAATATTACCGTGTCGAAATGTTCCGATTGTAAAATCTATGTATGTTCATATGTAGATATGTATGTAACTCATCAACGCCGTTGACAAGTGGCGAGATAAAACATATTTCTGAACTTTCAATGCTTTACGGCTTTAGTCCCTTATTCGCCATATCAATTTTTTGAATATTTAATTTTCAATTAGGCTTTTTGAAGAACAGTTACATGAAAAGTGCATTTCGCGTCAAGCCACTCAATTATAACTAAGTAATGGCAAAGGTAAAGTTTACTTAAAAAATATGAGTTTCTCACACATAGCCAGGTATGTGAAAAGGGAAGAATTCAATACAATCACCTTCAACCCCATTTATTTAGATAACACTTAATCAAATTCATTATTATTACCATTAAATACAATCTTTATGCACACTCACAGATATTTCGCTAATAGTAATTTCAGCTCAAGATACTATTGCAATATTAATAAATTGTTAGTTATGTTGGTCAGCACCGAAATAGTACTGAAAAATTAAATCAGAAATTATTTCCTAATAATATAATACCTTGCCATCTCTTATATTTGTCGTCTCTTATTGGGTTGTTTCAGACAATTGGAGATATATTTATAGCATATTCAATTTTATTACAGGGGCAAAACGCCTTGAGAAAGTGCACAATGAAAAACTGTCAAAACTGTAATTGAATTCCTCAATAAAGCAAATAAACTTTTAGGTAACGAATCGAAAGAAACAGTTGAAAGCAAACAACCATTCATCTTAGCAGACTAGTACTTTAGTTACTCGGTAAAACGATCTGTTAGTATAAAAAAACAAAACACCCTTACAAAACTAACCAATAACGATTAACAAATACGAGTTACAGCCTTAAGACGGATAAAGTCCGTGTTAACTCTGGTGCGCAGAACCGGATTTCGGCATACCAAATATGACACTTTCCCCTTCTGTCGTTTTACCTTAAAATACATCACTGAGGAGTTTCCAGTTAAACTGGTATTCCTCAAATCAACATTCTTGGACCTATATAATACTTGATATATACTGCAAACATCAAAGAAAACAGAAAAGTATAAACATCCCTTTTCGCGGATGACGCAGCCATCTTAAACGATTATAACTGTGCTATAAATGAATCAAAACAACTTCTTATAAGAATATGTCTAACTAACTGGAAACTTGATGCCAATAAGCAAAAGTGCGGTTACAAAATCAAAAATAGCAAAAATATAAACACGTTACTTTTACATTACGCTCAGAAGCATGTCCTGCATATACAGTAAACTGTATAATTATTCCCAAATCAAAAGATTTGACATATCTCGACATACATTAGATACAAGACTCACTTGGAAATACACATAGATACCAAATTATTACGTACGAAAGTAACTGTAGCTGATTAAATTGGCTTTTACATGAAAATCCTGTGTTAAAACTAGAATACAAAGAAATCATGATTTTAAGACCATTTTGGGTGTGTGAACGTTATTCAACTGAGGGCTATGACCAGTGCAAATAATAGTTTCCCGCAATTTTTGGAAAGGGTTTGAACCTTCAAACCCCCTTGCTTTAACGTATGAATGTCACAGAGGACTTAGTTTTATGTGTGTAAGTGTTTATTTATAATAATTTATTTGATGTAGGTACATATAAGATAAAATTGGTTGTGGATCAATTAAATGAATACATAAATATTTGGGTAGCAAGTAGTTTGCAACTTATTAATGTAAAAACACAAATTTACCATACTAATATGTTATATCCTTTGTTTCATGAAAATACTGATTGCCGGGAGTAAACTTAGGTCGCGCATGACTCATAATCACACAATATATTCCATATATTTTTTATGCAAGAAGCACTTTCATAAAATCAATAATACAGCTTAAAAAATACAAATTCGTTTCTCTGAAAGAAAAACTAATCATTTTTTAGGGTAAAGTGAGGAAACAATAGAACAACCTCTCCAGGAAGACTTCTTCGCATAATGCAAAATTTTTTATTTGCCACTTCCTTTCTAAAATTGTCTATAAATATTTATAACATAAACAATGCGAGTTCACAAAACACTTTTTTCACACTATTGCAAATTTGTTTTCCTAAATAGCACTAGAATTGGCATGGACAATTTTACCTTGATATGGAAAGCAGAAAATATACATATGTATATGTATATATTTATGCACAGCTCGTTATAATATATGGGAATACCTGAATATTTATGTGTGTATGTTTGTCCACAAGCATAATCACACAAGAGCAGAATATAAATTTGTAGAGTTATTAATATTATGCATTCTTTAACTAGAATTAAGCAACACATTTTTCCTATTACTTACCCGTTTTAATTTTCCAAAACTTTGCAAGTTAAGCGAAGTGGCAGACGCACTAATTTAGCTCCTGAAATGAAATTACTTTTCGAACATAAACCAAAATTTTTTTCGTCATTTTGCTTACTTGGCAGAGTTGTTGCGCGATTGTATCCGGGTGTTTTTACAGGCAACCTAATATTCGCTAGCTTAGAAATTTACAATTTTCTATACTACACAGAGACTATACGAGTTTAGTTATACAAAAATTGTAAATTTTTGCAACAAAAAAGGGAAAACTTTTTATTAAAACAATATAAATCCACTTGTGCGATTCTTCACTGATAGAGACAGCGCGTTGATTATTTTGACAGATCACATCAGCTGATCTTTTTACTGCCATTGCGAATGATTAATTTCGAAACGAATATTAATTATTATCGAATATCAAAGACAACAACCATTGTGCGACAAAAATAAACGGAACAATGGCGGGTCGTTATTATATTAATTACCAAGCTGATAAATCAATAATCTAGAATATTTTTATATAATTAATTTTATTACCATTGAAATTTATTAAGTCATGTACATATATTTCGGAGGGAAATATCAACCAAAGTTAAATAGAAAGTCAATCAGTGTTGCATTGGCATATTGCACAAGTGCGCGCCAGCTTGATTATAACAATAAAATTTCGATAATTTATACTTTTGCTTATTTTAAACACATGAATTTATAAAGAAATAAATTTAATGATAATCAAAAATACTTCACAAAGAAGAAAAAAAGACTTACTTTATAATTTACTTAGTTTGGAACAAATATTTAATTTTTTTTATTTTATTCGATTTCAATTGAAGCTGAATCTAATCTGCTCTGACTAGTATATAAAATAAAATATCTTTATGGCTTTATGATTTCACGGATTTTTTCGGGGTACTTAACATAAGTAAAGAAATCATATTTTATTTATAAATAAGAAATTATTACAATATATTTTTATATATTTCACTCGCACTTTATGCTATTAATAAACAAAAATGAAAGTAGAAATTTTTAGTTAAAGTTGTCTGAGTATTAGCTCATTCATTCCAAATTCAAAATTGATTGAAAATAAGAAAACTTCACTTGTTTGCAAACATGATCACTAGAAAGTATTCCCATACATAAGTTCAATCAAAGTAACATCTTTATATTAACAATGTATATGAAGAGACGGAAAGTGATACTAAGTTGATGAATTTGCTGCTAATTATTGTTAAATGCAATAAAAAGAGATTCCAAATACAAGTTCTGATTACATGTATGTAAAAATTTTTAATAGCTTATTAAAAACATATATTTAAAACTTTTCACTCTTTATTTGATATAAAAAATTATATTAATATAAAAACAATGATACTTAATTTTTTTCAAGCAGTTCTTTGAAAAAATTAGATAATTATTTTACTTTAAAATAAAAAAGCAAGTTAGGTTATTTTCATTCACAATAGAATTCAGCGGTCAAATGTCAACAATGCTGCCATTAAAATGTTACTCCTGTAGTGGAGTTCAATATCTTCATTTCGCTTTAACCTTAACAAAAATATCATTATTTTGGCAAAATATCATTATTATTGTACGCACCAACTTCAAAATATTCGTCGCTTATTTAGTGACAACAGCTGATCAAGCGATAGCGAATATCGTAAAATGAGTAGAGCGAATATTGAAATCCTTAAAATTATCGCTAAGTTATTTTAACGATACGAAAACCAAATACTCGCAATACAATAGAGAAAGGAAATTAATGAATTAAATAAAGAAATATGTAAATAAAGAAGACACGTATCAAATATTTTTATTTTGTTATGCCCTCCGTATTAGGTTGTACTGTTTTTCCACAGGTGCGTTACCGATTTTTTTGGGTTATTTTTACCCATACACACATATTTGCATGTTAAACTAATCACAAAAAACGAAACAGAAATAATCACTAAACAAGCTTAAATTGATATAAACATTCAGTAAAAAATAAATGCCTTATAAATCAGGGACATGAATTCTACACAAACTACAATTAAATTAAGCTTACTCGTAAGTCCACTGCAAGCCCTAAGCTATAATTCGAAAACATATAAAAATACATGGTAAGTAAATGGTGCTTGCAACTAAAAGTAATCAAAATTCAAGCCTCAAATATGAGAACATCTTTTTACTAATCTAAAAAAACTTTACTGTTCGTGAAAATTTATTGTTCAGCACCTTTATCGTAAACACAAAGTCTGTTAACTCTCTCAACGTTTCAAGAAGTGCCCTCATTTGAATAGCTTACACACTACTACCCTTGTAGAAATAACTTTCCTTAAGCGGTTTGGCATGTTCTCTACCAAATTTTCCGTTCTCCTCTTATTTATTGGCATCGGCACCGCTTACGCGATTATAACCGAATTAACAATAGCGCAGTCAGTTATTCCCCTCGCTGTCTGTAGCCAGTTAGAAATACCAAGTGAAACCAGGTCGCTCTTCACCTGATTATTCCAAAGAATTAAAGGCATTCCACTTGTTCTGCTTCCACCAGAGAGTACTGCACCAAATACTTTCAGAGCTAGATTGTTTTTATCCATTCTGACGACATTCGCTGAGTTATGTCAATATCAACGTATAAATCGTACATCGTTCCATCGTCTGTAGTATTCACCGTTGCCTATGCGCAAAGAACCATAAACCGTTCGGAAAACTTTTCTTTCAAAGACTCTACAGAGGTCTCAACAGATGTTGCCTTCGTCCACACCTCTGTGCCATATAATAGGACGGGAATGATGAGTGACTTGTAGCGTTTGGTTTTGGTTCGTCGAGAGAGAACTTTACTTTTCAATTGCGTACTTAGTCCAAAGTAATACTCGTTGGCAAGAGTGATTCTGCGTTGAATTTCAATGCTAACATTATTATTGGTGTTGATGCTGGTTCCTAGGTTATTTACGACCTCGAAGTTATGACGGTCCAAAATGACGTTGGAGGCAAGTCGCGAATACGATGACTTTTTGTTTGATGACAGGAGCTACAATATTTCATCTTGTCCTCCTTTACTACTAGACCCCTTCGCTTCGATGGGTTAAGGTCAATGATATCAATGACATCGGCATACACTCTTGTTAAAAATTGTGCCACACTCGGTGGGCTTTAGTCTTTCACGCAATACGCTCGATAGAAACTTATGAAAGATATTTAGGGGTATAATCCCACGATAATTATCTCTTTAAAAATTCGATTCTTTTACACGACTCCAAAGGTTGTTCATATTTGTTCTGGTTGCTTCATCCTGACGAACCACAGTTTTGCGATTGATAAAAGTATCTCCATCGAATTGAGGTCGCTACATTGTGCTAGGCAATCTATCAATTGGAAGTTTTGATTCCGTTATAATTTTAGCTTGCGTGTTTTGGATCACCTTCTGGATGATAAACAAATCCTTTTTCGTGACAAGCGGGAAGGTGGGCTTGTAGAATATGTTCTTTGCGCATATCGACAATCACAATTGGAATTTGATAGAGTGGCCAGCACCTACCTCAAATTCGGTTGAAAATCCCTTGTCAATCATGAAACGATGGCTCGGGTTGTGCGAAACAACCCCGAGAAACATAGGAAACCTATGCGATAGTATAAAACCGAAATGGGACTCAATTTCGAATTGATTAATCAAAAATTTGTTAGTGAGCATACGAAACTACTTAAATGAAGTTATTTTAACCAGTCTGTGGAAAAATTATTATTTATTGGCGAATTTATTTTTTTCCATAATTTTGGAAAAGGTTTGAATGATTTTGAATCCCAGGAATACTAAGCTTTTTAAATAATCATTATCCTTTGATATCAGAGTCACTCGTGAGCTTACCAACATCATGAACATTTTTCTACTAGACTTTCGACCAAAAATCTTTATTTTATTAAGATTGACCACATATGCAACTGTACGGCGGTCGCGGTAGCCGAGTACTGACATTCGGAAGGCTCGAGTTCAAATCCCGGTGCAACCAATATCCAAAAAGTTAAAGGAAATTAATCTAACTAAAAAATTAAGTTAAATTTTTTAATTGCGGTCGCCCCGCGGCAGGGAATGTCCACCCCTCCGAGTGTATTTCGGACATGAAATAAAGGCTTCTCGTAAAAAAAACCATGAGCCGTTCGGAGACGGCTTGTTAGAAAAACATCAAGACGCAAAAACCACAAATTGGAGGAGGCGCCTCGGCCGAAAAATCGCTACAGCAGTTACAGAGCGTCAATTATATAAGCATATATATATATACATATGCAACTGAGTTCTTAATAAACCTCTGTCACAATACGGTTTCAAATGCATCGCTCCAAAACTATAAATACTAGTCAGATATTCATTCTTACATAAATAATACCTAAGAATACGTACATATGTGCATATAATGCTACGTATGCATACATACTTATGTATGTAAAATTGAATACAAATGTATGGCGTCATTCAATCATTAGTTAACATTCTTAACCAGAGGAATTCGTGGTAAGTTATTTTTTTTTCTTGAATTCAGAGAGCCTATCCATACTCCATAAAAATGGGATTCCCAAGAGCTCTGTCAGCATACCCATATAACAAATGCCATAACGTATCGGATAAGATACTGAAATCTTAATATTGCTGCCTTCAAGAGTGTCAGCCGCATTGGTTGCTCACTCCGTCATTGGTTGGCGATGCAACTCTTTACGGGATACTTGTACAGCTTCGAAGACGTCACAAGTCTAAGAAAAGTGTCAGCTAATGATTTCGTGGTAGTTGTTTTTCGTTTTGTTTTGGGAAGGAAATACCTTGTGGAAGTTACTCTTGGCATTCGGCAATGATGTCAGTAAACAAGTTGACAGACACAGGCGGATAAACAAAAACCAACAAAATTGTTTTAAAATCGACGACATGCATTACCTTCCTACCGCCGACGCAGTAGGATAAGGCATAGGGCTAAGAGAGTAGTGCGCTCGTTGCTTCCGCCGTAACAATTGACCTCATTTATAATTCAATATGTTAAAAGTCACAGCATCAGCATCATTGCGTTGGAATAATGGTTTTGTTTAATGGTAGCTGACAGTGATGTCGGTCGCGGTGTAAAACGGATTGTGAAATGTGTTTAGCTGAATTGGAAGTTTTGCCGACTAACGAAAATCAACAACAAATGTCAGACACACAAGTTTTTATAAACAAAACAATATACAGCTTTAATTGAGAAAATTCAAAGGTAATTAACAAGTCTCCCAACAATTAGTTACAAATACAAAAAAAAAAAAAATCAAGTCAAACAAACTTAAATTCTATAATTGTAGCAGCAATTCAGAGGTGTACCTAACAGGGAGGACTTTTTGGCATAACAACGAAATTTCAAA